CAACCAACCTGCTCTTCCAGAGGACCCAACTCCCACCTGGTGGCTCATAACTGACAAACTCCAGTCCCAGGAGATCTAACATCCTATTTTGGTCTCTACAGACACTGCACATACAGTGCATAGATTACACATGCAGGTAAAACACCCATACATACAAAAATAAATGTGGTTTTTTTTTTGTTGTTGTTGTTTGTTTGTTTGTTTGTTTGGGGTTTCCGTTTCAAGACAGGATCTCTTTATGTAGCACTCGACATCCTAGGACTAGCTCTGTAGACCAGGCTGGCCTAGAACCTCATAGAGATCTGTCAGCCTCTGCCTCCGGACTGTTGGAATTAAAGACATGAGCCACCTCTTTTATGCACAGTCCTGGATTCCAAACTTTAAAGAACAGTGGACAGGTATTGGTGGAGTGCTTGTCTGGCATGCAAAAGGCCTTAGGTTCAATCTCCAATACCAAGTAAACCAGGTGTGGTATCAAATGCCTACAATTCTTGCATTCATGAAGTAGAGGCTGGAGAAGCCAAAGTTCAAGGTCATCTTTGTCCATACAGTGACCTCAAGATACACAAGATGATGTTCCCACAAAACAAAAGCCCCACAAAGTGGGTGAGATGGGTTAGCTGGTAAAAGTGCTTGTCATACAAGCCTGACAGTGAGCTCATTTACTGGACCCATGGTAAGAAGACAGAACTGACTCCAAAATATTGTTCAATGACCCTCACATTCCAACCATGCTCATGCACACACATACACACAATAAGTTTCTTGGATTTAAAAAAAAAAAAAAGAGTCTGGAGATGTGGCCCTTTGGTTAAGAGTAAATAAATACTACTACTCCCCCAGAGAACCTGAGTTCAGTTAGCTCACATGTCAGATAGCTCACAACGGACTATAACTCAAGCTCCGATGGATTCAATGCCTCTGGCATCTGCATCCATGTGCACATAACGCACATATATACACATATTGAAGATAAATCTTTTTTCTTTTCTTTTGTTTGTTTTTTTTTTTGAGACAAGATTTCTCTGTGTAGCCCTGGCTGTCTTGGAACTCACTCTGTAGATAGACCAGGCTGGCCTCGAACTTGGAGATCTATCTGCTTCAGACTCCTGAAGATTAAAAGCAAGTGCCACAACTGCCCAGTTTAAAGATAAATCTTAAACTTAAAATGGAGGTGCATGCCTTTAACTCCAACACTCAGAAGGCAGAGGCCATCCTTGATCTACACAGTGAGTTCTAGGACAGCCAAGGTACAGAGTGAGACAAAGGTCAAGTAAAATGATTCTTAATAGACTAGTACTGATGTCTTAGAAAGATGAACCCTATCTTCTGCTCAAAGTCATTTTAGTGCCACACCTGTCTAAGAATTGACTAGTTTTAAAAGCCAAATAAAATCAGAATGTTTTGTTTATAAAACTAAAGATAAAGAATTTGAAAATGAAAACAAAACTACTGAATTTATTTGAAAATAAATATACAATGGAAAGTAGGAATAGTGGTATGTAGGAAAAAGTGACACACAATATGCATACATTGAGCTAAGGTGAGTTCAGCGGTAGACGACTGCCTAGCATACATAAAGCCCTAGGTTCACAAGGGGAGAAAAGATGCCTTGCTATATATCAACTATTGAGTATCCAGGTTCTTTCACTATTCTTTGTTTAACTAGAAATTTTGTGATGCCGTTTTTTTGTTCTTTTCAATTAAAGACTAGGGTCTTTTATCAACTCAACCTTTCCCTAGAGTTCTTAGGCATAGTCTCTAATTCTTTCTGCTCTTTTCTGTATCTAGTAGGCATCTGTTTACAAAATTATTCCCTTCTATTTATTTTTGTGTATGAGTATGTACCCATGTATGGGGGCACACAGCCATGGTGCGCATGAGCGTACAGAGGCCAGAAGACAACTGACAGGAGTCAGCTCTCTCCTTCCACTATGTGGTTCCCAGAGATCAAACTCAGGTCTTTAGGCTTCACCCACTAGGCCATCTCACCAGCCCAACTATTCTGTTTTATCATGACTTTATCTTGAATTTCCTTCCATAATTTTCAAAAGTACTACTCATTAAAAAAGTATTTAAAACAAAGAATTATAATATCATCAAAAACTTAATCACATAGTTCTCTATAGACAAAAAGATGCACTTAACATGTACTATTAGAAAAAATAATAAAACCCGGGCAGTGGTGGCGCATGCCTTTAATCCCAGCACTTGGGAGGCAGAGGCAAGCGGAACTCTGTGGGTTCGAGGCCAGCCTGGTCTACAGACCAAGATCCAGGACAGGCACCAAAACTATACAGAGAAACCCTGTCTCGAAAAAACAAAAGGAAAAAAGAAAAAAATAATAAAACTCTAAGAATGGATAAGCTTTTCTCACTGGTGTGAAATACTTCCACAGCAGAAACTGGTGTGACTGAACAGCTCTCACTGAGAGATACTATGGAACCTAAACCTTCGCACTTTGAACAAGTTGTTGATAAAAAAACGTTTAATAGCTTTCTGGGTGAAAGTAAAGGCACTGACAATATGACAAGCAGATGCAAAAAAAAAAAAAACCAGGAAATTCCAAAAGTTTAGACAAAGGGACAATGCAAAGAAAATCTATAAGGCTCAAAAGCATTCTCTACTACAGAAGCAATTCATAAATGCATGAACGTGGTTTGTAAAAATAACTGATTTACACATGTAAGCTAGGTTAAGACTACTACAAAAACTAAAAACACTTCCTCAAAGTTTGCTCCTACCCTACAGGACTTGCCAGAGTTTGCAGCTTCAGAAAGTTAATGAAAAAAAGAAAAACTCATACTGCTATATTATTCCCTTCCCACTAAATGTGCTTTTTGGTTTGCTTGTTTTTTGTTTTTGTGTTTGTTTTTCAAGACAAGGTTTCTGTTTAACAGTCCTGGCTGCCCTGGAACTTGTTTTGTAGACCAGGTTGGCCTTGAAGGCATGTGCCATACCACACTGCCCAGCTAAGTATGCCTTTATAACAAGGGAAACAAAACAAGGCGTTTTCTCTTGAATACCTGTTTATCTGTATTTTAGGATATATTTTCTCCTCAAAATTCATTATAATGGAGTGTGAATTCAGGGTCAATCCAAGTACTGGCATCAGAACTACAACTTAGCTATACTGGAGTGGGAAGATATCTCAATCCACAGAAGACTGTACTTTCAGTTTCTAGCAATTTCCAACAGCAATTTAGACATATGTAATGACACATCATCACCAAAGGGACATAAGCAATTAATTACCTCCTACAAATGCTCCTATCCCCCTTATTAAACATTTATCTTTTTCTCAACTCTCTGCCTCCAAGGCCTCTTCCTACCAATGGTGCCCCATATCCCTTGGTCCTCCATGACATCTTTAAAGTGAACAGTATGCTCAGAGCCCAGGCCAAAGCTGAACAAACAGTAGGCTCAACAGCACCTAGACAATCAATAAATCTCAGTCAGCAGTTAAGAGCACTGGCTGCTCTTCAGGAGGACCTGGGTTCAATTCCCAGCACCCACATGGTGGCTCCCAACTGTCTGTAACTCCAGTCCTAGGGGATCAGATGCCCTCTTCTGGCCTTGGTGGGCAACAGGAATGCATGTGGTATACATACATACATACAAACAAAACCATATAAAATAATAAATAACAAATATTTTAAAAATCTCATTCCAATTTTGGCACTAGCTTATCTTAGAAAAATTTTAGAAGCGAACCTGGAAACAGTTTTAGCTGCTTTTGTCTTATTTTATTTTATTTTATTTTTTAATGAAAATCTAAGCTTAAAACTTAAGAACAATGCTTCAGGAAAAATATGAACAAAGCAACAACCAAATGAGTATCCCAGAGATCAGGGGAATGACAACAGCTGGCTCATCAAAGGTGATACAAGAGTGAAAAAAATGCTAGGCATTTTTAGCATAACTATGCAAGCCACCCTCCATTAATGTGCCTTATATAAGTCTACAACAGACAAATTCCTTGTAGACCACAGTACTAACATTCTATTCACTTCCTTTCAAAATATTAGATCTATGGGGCCATCATTAAAATTTGTTGAAACAATAGACCTGATGACAATTTTTAACTGTAATAACCATCTTTAACCTATTGTTGACAGGATGCCTGCACAATTCAAATCATATCCAAACTTTCTCTAAATCTTAAATATATATTCTTTTAGTCAACTCCATCTACATCATTGAGTCTCAAACATCTCACAGAAGACCTATGTAGCACTGGCCCAAATACCTTAAGCTAATCTCAGTTTATGTAACACTCCATGTCTCTACTCAGTATTTTTTAACTACTTTTACAGAAAACACTAATTAATCTTCAATGTAAATTACCATCTTGTCATTATCAGTAGCCAACTAATCTACAGTAATATAAAACACTATCCAACAAATACAAGGTAAGAAAAGCTGTTCCCAAAATAAACCAAGTAACAAGTCTCTAAGAAGTTATTTGAATTTAAAATCTTTATAAAGGGGCTGGCCAGAAGGTTCAGTAGTTAAGAGCACTGGCTGCTCTTCCAGAGGACCTGAGTTCAGTTCCCAGCACATACATGGTAGCTAACTCCAGTGGCTCCTCTTCTATCCTCTGAGGACACCAGGCATGCACAGTACAGATATATAGGCAGGCAAAACATCCATACACATAAAATAAAAATAAATTAAAGGAAAACTTATCAATAGCCCCTACTAATTATAAATGAAGGGGAGAAAAAACAAGTAACAAAACTTGAGTGTACACACACACACACACACACACACACACCTTCTAAGGTGCCAGTGAAATGTCTCAGCAGGGGTGCTTACAATGTAAGCCTGGTAACCTGACCTTGATCTCTGGAACCCACGAAAACATGGAAAGAAAAAAAACAACTATACAAAGTTGTCCTCTAATTCCCAAACACATAAATAATAAATTAAAATTTCATATCACATAAATGGTTTACAAAAAGCTCTCTTGGCTTATCGCAAAGAATATCCAAACTTACCTGAAGTTATTAATTTAGCACAACTACTTTTGTTTGCATTGTCTTCTGAGATTCTATGTGTGCTCTTTTCCTTCCCAATCAAAGCATCCTCCATAAGTAAGCATTTATCAGAGGCCAAACTGTCTTCACCCACCACATGACTAAATGTGCTATTAGCTTCAAGTACAGACGTGGCTTCTTCGGGCTGAGCAGCTTCACTAGATGAACCCTTACCCTGGGCTAAATTTTTTGAAGAAACAGGTAGAGACTCATCATCACTATCAAAACCAAAAGGATCTCCAGTATCTTCTTCTTCTACTTTAGGTTTCTTCGGAATTTCTTGGATATCTGGTTTGAAATTGGGCCTCTTTTGCCCTAATTTAGCCATAAATGTGGTCTCTCCCCATTTTGTACTAAGAGTAGTCCGTTTGTTGGAAAAAACTTCATCAAATTTTGAACTGCCATTTCCTCCTTTCCTACTGTAAGTTTTTCCAAATCTGGATGTCATTTTGACACCTGTTTCATATTCCCTGTGGAAAGAAATTTAAGAAAAATAAAATCACCAATCTTTTAACAAGTTTTAAGCATTCTATAAAAATAAGATCCTAGGACTTCTTATATAGTTTTCAACATTGAGCGTACACACTTTTAAACTAGTTTAAATAAATGAGTTGAAGAGGCTTGTTTTCCATCCAATACTTCCAACCATCAGGTTTGGTGGTGTTTTGGTTTGTTTTACAGTAAGTATATACTCATATGAAACTTACAAAATAAAAAAAGCTTACTACTAACCAACTTGTAATGCAATACCTACAAATCTAACAAGACATTTCTCAAGTTCCAAATGAACTATTCTCAGACACAATTTAACCAGAAAAAAATAATCTAAATAGACTAAATACCCAAATACAAATCTTAACACAATATATTAAGTTGACTAAATTTAGTTCTTTGAAATTTTACTGCTCTTTATATAAAGGGTCAGAAAAACTGTTATTTTCTCATATACTACAACTGGTAGCTTCTACCTAACCTTAAAGATTCTTATTTTTCGACTAAAGTAATCTGAACTGACTTTAAAAAAAGTTCCTTGCCGGGCGGCAATGGCGCACACCTTTAATCCCAGCACTCAGGAGGCAGAGGCAGAGGCAGAGGCAGAGGCAGAGGCAGAGGCAGGAGGATCTCTGTGAGTTGGAGGCCAGCCTGGGCTACCAAGTGAGTTCCAGGAAAGGCACAAAGCTACACAGAAAAACCCTGTCTCGAAAAACAACAAAAAAGTTCCTTCAGTAGTCATCTCCCTAAATTCAAGAAATCATTCTCCTAATCTTCCTTATCTCTGTAGTGCTGTGTTCATTTGCTGAGTGACATTTTTCTGAAGTTGAAAAACTTCATTTTACCAAGGTACATGGTTTATTATTATAATAATAGAAATAAGCTGGGTGATGGTGGCACACCCTTTAATCCCAGCACTTGGGAGGCAAGCGGATCTCTGAACTGAAGGCCAGCCTGGTCTACAAATGAATTCTAGGATAGCCAGGGCTACACAGAGGGACCCTTGTCTCACAAAACCAAAATAAATAAATAAAATGAATAAAAATAGAAATACATAGCCTTTATTTTCTTCCTCAATTTACAAACAAATCCATCTACCTAATTTACCTAAAAATATACTGGAAAAAAATTTTCCAAGGGAAGTCAGTCAAAGGGCAAACATTTAAAGCTACAAGTTATAGTACTTTTACAGCGCAATCAAATCGTATCCATTTCTTAACACTTTGACCTTCTGCAGTTTAAAAGTCAATTTATCAATTTTGGGGGTGTGGGGGGGGGATAAGCAATTGCCTAAGGGCTTGAAAAAATCTTCATTACTTTAAATCTTACAATGGGAATAATATTTAACTTATGCTTTCAAATATTTTTGATCTACACTTTTAATAATTTTATTAAGTTCCTACAACTTAATGAATCACTATCCGATGTAGTTCAGCAAATATTCAGTAGAGGACTCATCCTCCCTCCTCTACTAATGTTTGAAAGGAAACCAATTCTGACTGGACAAAATAATAATTTAGTCATCATACACATTTGTGCTAAGAGGAAATTTAGCTTTCCTCAGAGTTTCTGTTTTGTAGTTTTAAACACTAACAAGCTTTATTGTCTTTCTTGTTAAGTATAACAAGAAAACAAAAACAAAACAAAGTATAATAATTGGGCAGCTACCAAAGACAAGAAAATAATTTCTTTAAGCTGTGATCTGCAGACCTACATTTAGGAATGTTTTGGACACACATATATGGCAATCATCTAAAAATGCTGACTAAAGGCCAAACCAAAAATCTAGACTTGATCTCCTTTATGCCAACATCTGAAAAACTCTTCGTAAAAACAGTCAAAACCACAAAGCATTCAGTGCTGAAAGTTTAAGGTCTGCAAATGAATATTTGATACTGAGTTAAGTGATAAGAATTTATTTTTTAAGAGATCATTTCTCACAAATACACGCTGATGTATTAATAGTATCATTAATACTGATGAAATAACATTAGTGATTTTTTAATATTAAGCAATGGGGAACATGCAGATGAGATAAATGTGGTTGAGTTATTATCTACTGACTCCAGTAGCTATGAATATAAGAGAGTTCATTGTATGATTGTTTTTATTGTTTTCCATAACGTCCATTTAAAAAAAAAATCAGCAGACTACTGAGATGGCATTATCTAAGCAAAGCATTCGTACAAATTCAAAAGTGAGCATACATATCTGGCATGACATTTTTACATACATTTCAGACACACTAACCTCGTTCAGGCTTCAAACTTCACCAACTGTCCTAACCAAAAAGGAAAGGAGGGTTCACAACTAAGTGTTTTTCGATCTTTGGGCCTTTGCCTCAGTCCAAAGCCCGGTCGACTTTTGAGGGAAGTGCACAGGGATTTAAATTAGGGAAGGGGAAGGGGGAGTCCTCACCGCTTAAACTGCCTAGAAACCTAGGCTCTCCCAAGCCCCCAAGGTGCATCAGGGGCTTCAATTAAAAGAGGGACATGGAAGAGGCAAACAGACGCGAGCAGATTCTCACCTGGGGCTGCGAGTGCGCCAGGAGGCTGGAGCAGAGACACCCCTCCGGCTGGACGCTCACGCAACTTTTCTCCTCCCAACCCCCACCGCCCAGCAAAGGGACGTCGCTTCGGACGCCCCGGAAGCTTCTGCCACTGAGTCCCTGCAGCAAGGCCTCGGTGACGGCTAGAGGCGGCGGAAAACTACGGGGGAAAGGATTCAGGACTGAAATCAAGCGGACCGGGTTTGGAAGCGAGAAGTCAGTCAGCGAGCCGCCCCGAGAAGAACTCAAAAGGGAAATCAGAGGTGGGGAGGGAAAGAGTTCTTCAGATCGCTCGGTGCCCAACTTCCTGAGAAGCCAGGTGAGCAACGAGACTCGCACCGCCCCTGCCTCCTCCACCCACCCCGGCTCGCTCCGGGCCTAGGCAGCCGCCCGAGACCTCACTTACCCTCGGCGCCTGGCGGGTGCTCTGGCCTCGGGCCGCCTCCGCCTCCCCCGCTCCCAACGGCCCGCGGGCGGGCGCGGGAGCCCCGCGCGGGAGAACAGTGCCGACCGGTGCGCCCGGAGAGGCGAGGGGCTCTGCTGCCGTCACAGCCCGCGGCTCCGCTTCGGTAAATAGGAAGCCCGGTCGAGCGGGGGGAGGAGCGGCGGCTCCGCAACTTCCCTCCCCACCTCGGGCGCGCCGGCCGGGCAGAGCCTAGGCCTCCCTGGCGGGCGCCGCCGGTGCCGAGCCCGCTACGTGCCCCCGCTGGGCCGCCGCCGCCGTCTGCGCCGCCGCCTCCGCCGGTGAATGGTCAGCGCTGGAGTTTGAACAGGGCCCTGAACCATCTCAACGCCATTTGCGCTCCCGGCCCCCACCTCCTTCCTCCAACAGCCGCTCGCTCCGTCACTCCGCTTCCCACAGGCCCCGCGCGGCCGCCCGACCCCGCAGCCAATCGTACGGCCGCTTACTCAAACCGCCGCGCAGGCGCCGCGCCCCGCACGCGCCGGCTACCACCATTGGTCGGGCCGCGACGCCCGACGGGAGTTGTAGTTCTCTTCCGCGAGGTCCTAGTGTCCAAAGCCGGGTTCCGGAACGCAGATGGACGGCCTGAGTTCTGGCGGCGGGCCTGCTGGACCTCGCCGGCTCGGGAGCCAGTCCGAGTTCCTGGCCACGCGACGAGACGCAGGTGCGCCGCGGGAAGGCACGGGGCACGGTGCAGGCAGCTGTGTCAATCGTTTCCCCTCCAGGGACCCTCCGGCGTCTGGGGACAGTGGCTTGTGCAGCTGCGCCGAGCCTGCTGGGCCACCGCCCGGACCGTGGAGGCGGGGAGCTTGGGGCCGCCCTTGACCCGGTCTGACGGTGTGAACGGGCCAATGCAGGTAACGAGGACCAAAACCAGGAGTCGGGTTCGGGTCTTCTCACAGCCGCGATCCGCTTCAGCCCGGCCCTTCATCCTCTTCCCCCACTACTCGTCAGTCCCCACTCCGGAGTTTGGTCTTCTGTCCCCCACCTGTTAGCAGTGACCCCCCCCCGCCCTCCGCCCCTGGAGTATTGTATGTTACTAAGGAATTATCGTCGTCTTTATTGAATGTGCTTACGGTAATGTGGCTTTAAATAAAAAGGCATATTGAAGTGTTGACAGGTAACATGATCCGATGTGTTTATTTTGCCTGTGAAAACTGGAAAAGGGGAATAAATAAACCGAGGATGTTCTTCGTTGTTGGAGCTGCGGGTTGTGTACACACACGCTATCCTAACAGTGTTTATATCTAAAATTGTTCATAATAAAGTTGTTCTTTTGTTTTTTGGTGGGGGGGTTGTTTGTTGTTTTTAACTAACTAATTGGGGCAGGAAGGTAGTGGATGACTGACAGAAGTAGTATTTTAAATTTTCCTCTCTACAGAGACTTTTTTTTCCCCGTGTCAATGTATTACCTAATTGAGAAATCTGGAGAGGTTTTATTTTAAGCCTTCAATAGGAACACAGCTTTCTAAAGACTAGCACAGTCAGTTTCCCCTAGGAGAGCTGTGGGTCTGAGTCATCAGACTTGGTGTCTGGTAGGCAGTTAATGGAGACTCACCTGAGAAATTAGAAAGCTACTAAATGCTTTTGTGAGAAGACCCCCTCTTCTGCAGATTTAATTCTAAAGTACTCTCAATCTCAAGCCCCCTCCAACGTAATCAGGAAAGTCCTAAAGAGGAAAAATAAAAACTTCAGGCTGGGGGGGATAAGTAGTAGAGTGCTTCTCCAGCATGGCACTCCTGTCTGCCACCCCCTCAGGGGAAGGGGAAAAAAAACAAAAACTGTGCCCCAGTAGGAATTTAAGGTGGATTTTTAAACACACTTGAATTGTTTTCTTTTTGATGCCAAGTCTCATAATTAACATTCTTGAGTTTGCAGTTTCCCTGATACTGTGCATTTATATATTTATATTCTCATACTTGTTTCAAAGTAAGCCACCTGTTCCTTAACTTGTGCTAAGGAACCTGTTAACAAGTCTTGCACTCTATATGGTATACATATATGACTTATTTGGGTCAATTTTTTCTTCGTTTTTTTTTTTAATCAGCAGCTTGGGATCTTGTTTTATCGTGTGTTTGAAGATGGCTGGCAGTGGTGCAGACCGCCTTTAGTTTAATTATTTAGATGACATGGTGGTGGGTGCTAATTAAAGGGTAATTATCATCAGAGGCAAAAGGTAAGATCAAAAAGCCAAAAGAGGTAGTGAGAGGCAGTTGCAAGGTCTTCCTGGAGGAGTCTCCGAGAGCAAGGGAATTATCCTTCTGGCCTAGCCCTGCTGGTATTGGGCATTTGGCAGGCTTTGATGCTAAAAGAAGCTAAAGTGGAAAGGTTAACTATTTAAAGAAGTAGTCTTTGGCACCCTTTTATGGGGTTTTGTGTGTCCTTGTATTAAGTGATGGAACTTAGTTGTGTTGAATTCCTGCTACTGAAAGAATGACCCAGCATCTAGGCATAACCCTTGACCTTGTTGGGAAAGGATAATTCCTGTCCTCATCCCAACCCTAGACATCAGAATCTGCAGGTTAGTGGGATTCCCCCGGGGAATTGGTTCACACATCAAAGTTTGACAGGCACTGGTTTATAATATAGCCACAACATTTGACCACAATTTTTTTATAATCAACCGAGTTTGGGTGAGGAAGGGAATTATAGGGTGTGCACCTATAATTCCAATCCTGAGGCTGAGGCAGGAACGTTGAGCATGTCAGGCTAGTCCAGACTGAGATACTGAAGGGAAAATGGGGCTTGGCATATAGCTTGGTGATAGAGCATTTGCCTGTCATATGCAAACCCTGGGTTCTCTTCCCAGCACAAAAGAGTAGAGAACCTAATACATATGAAGAATGAGGCTAGGGTTTTTAGAGGACTGTTAGTACTCTAGACTGTTCTCCCTAGTGTCCAGGAAAGGAAATAGGAAGGCTGGCACTTGCTTAAGGTACTGCAACTAACAAAGGGATATCAACTTTATTGGATGTGTGTGGATATTCTTAACGGTTGCAGAAAGTTATACATGAAACTAGGTATGTTTGCACACACCTATGGCGCCTGCATTAAGGCTGAAGAAGAGGGTCATGAGTTTCAGATAAGCCTGGGCTTTGGGGAAGTGGGGAAAGAAGTAGTACATGATTTTGTTTTGTTTTGTTTTGTTTTTCAAGACAGGGTTTTGCTGTGTAGCTCTGGCTGGCCTGGAACTCACTTGGTAGACCAGGCTGGCCTTGAACTCACAGAGATCCGCCTGCCTCTGCCTCCTGAGTGCTGGGATTAAAAACATGTGCTACCTCTGCCCAGCAGTGATACATGATTTGTGCACTGAAGTAGCCTGGATCTGTGGAGGTTAGACACATGAATACCCAGCCATAATGTGCTAGCACTCCCTACCTTCCTAGGCTCTGTATCATGACTGATAGAGATCGTGCCACCTCTAGGGCTTATCTTGAGGGGAGTTGAGACTCTTCTGGCCCCCAAAGACTGTACCACAACCTTAACCCTTAACCTCTTTAGTTCTGTGAAAGGCAAATGCTTTGCAGGGACTCTTGCCGTGGTCCTGAGTGCCACACCAGAAGGGGATAATAGATGGCATACAGGCCAGAAGCTTTTTGTTGTGTTTGCTCAAGTCCTGACCTATTTCTTGATTATTTGATTGGTTGCTTTTGAGACAGGGTCCCACAGTACTCAGTATGGCCTTGGACTCTTGGACCTTTTGCCCCTACTCCCAAGTTCTGGAATTACAGATGTGTATATACTGCTATACCCTGCTAAGGTTTGTCTGAGAAACAACTCCTTTCTCCCCCACAGTCCTCAGCCTTGATGCCATGTGATTCTTACCTGATCAAAAAACAAGGCAAAAAACTAATGCTCTGTCTCCCCTCGTATGTCTAAGGGTTTCCCAACAACGTCATAGTTATGTAACAAACTGGGATCCTGGGTGTGATCCCAGTCTGTGCCCTTTGATGCTACAGGCTGCCCTTCTGTGTGCTGTCTAGGGAAGGCAAGACCCCCACTACCTTGGGACTCCACCTGAGTGGGCTTATACTCTCTCCTGTAAAGAAAACTAGCAGGATGCATTTCCTCTGCTGTTTCTGTGCCCTTGTTCTAGCTCTGGCATGGGCTGTAAAAGAACCAGCTTTACAAAATAGACCCTCAGTCCTTTTCCGAAAAATGTGTCATAACGTATAACTTAAAGAGTCCAGTTCAAGCACTCAGGAGACAGAGGCAGGCGGATCTCTGTGAGTTCCAGGCCAGCCTGGTCAACAGAGTTCCAGGACAGCCAGAGCTGTTACACAGAGAAACCCTGTCTCGAAAAAACAAAACCAAAACCAAACAGAAAAGAAGTCCAATACTTTGAAACCAGAAGTGACCACATGAGCAACCTTTTTTTCCTTTTTACTAAGATGGGGGGAGGGATTATAGAATTGTATGTTTGCATATTGTAGTGGTTGGGTTCCAAAGCACCACAATATGTGTGCTAGACCCTGCCCTTACCTGTTGACAAAACAGCTCCTCTCTAGCCAGTCTGCACCACCTCTGCTGGTCTACCTGCTCCCTCCCCAATATGAGAGAGCAGGAACCTTGTTTTAGCAAATCTTGTTTTCTGCTCCATCCCTGTAGAAGAGTACCTACACACAGTAGGCACTCAGTAAATAGCTAAAGCTCCTCCTTGTTTCCTTCTTTCGTGTAGCTTGAAAGTGACTAGACACTAACAGTGGTTTCAGATAAATTAGTGGCCCCATAAATTGTTAAGGTTCCGCTGTGGAAGGGAGACTGAGCTATCTGGAGTTACCTTTTGTCCTTGTGGTTTTCACTGTGAGAACTGAGAAGATGAATACTATCATAATTCCAATTACCTTGTTTTCCAAGATAATTGGAATATGTTCTCTGGAGATGGTGATGTCCCTTGGGGAATAAACTACCCTCTAGGTAGTTAAAAGACAAAGCAAAGGGAATTGCCTGCACTGTGTTGTCTAGCAAGGCTTGGTACCTGGCAGCCTCTAAGAGAGCTTGATTTCTGACTTTTGTCCCTGGAAACAGCATCACCACTAAAGCTGCATGATACCTTTTCAAAAAAATCTAAGTGCTTCCCCAACTAAGACTAAACCTCCCAAATCCTTATCAC